GTTGCTTTGCCCTGGATGCTGTTGAGCTTCTCGAGTGTTGTTGGAACTGTAGTCATCCCAGCAAGTTTCATTAAACTCCTGACATGTCTTACGGTCAGGCTTTGGGAAGACAGGGAGCCAATTACTCACCTGCTGTTGTAGCCACAGTATTTATATGGCTGGCGCACAATGGTAAGTCCCCAGGTTACGGATATGATTCAGTGACAATAATGCCATTGGACATCCAGGGATGGTTAGATTGTCTCTTGCTGGAAATGGTCATTACCTGGAATTTGTAATGGCATGAATGTTACTTGACACTTATCTGCCCAAGCCTGGATATTGTCTAGGTCTTGCTGCATTCGGGCAGTATCAGAGGTGTCACAAATGTTGCTGCACTCATGTGCAACCATCAGCAAACATCTCCACTTCTGACCTTATGATGGAGGGAAGATCATTGATGAAGCAAGTGAAGTTGGTTGGGCCCTGGATGCTACCCTGATGAACTCCTGCAGCAATTCCTGGGCAGATACTTTGATGTTGTTGACTGAAGTACTCCCCTGTTCTCCCTTAAAATATCACCATGGGATCTCTTACATCAACTAAGGCAGCAATTTTACTTCTCAACTGAAAGATAGCAGCTCTGACTCTCTTAGTGTTGCAATAAGGTACCAGCATAGGCTACTGTGTTCCAGTTGGGACTCAGATTCATAACTCTCTGATGCAGGGATGAGAGGGCTACCAATTGAGCTATAGCTGTCACCAATATATTATACATTCTACCATTTTCCTTCCATAGGAAATGTCTCCAGAGCTTTGTGTTTTATCAAGATTCCAAAAAACTGGACTACCCAGAGCTACTTTACACAGATGGCCAAATTCACACTTCAATTCCTCCTTGCTGCCTCCCTGTAAACAAAGGCACTGTGTTTAAGACAGCTTATGGGATTGTTGCAGTGAAATTTCAAGAGGCCGTTCAGCTGGCTGGCTGATGACAAGACATTCAACATTATTCTTTGAGATCAGTGGCACCATGGCTGACTAGAAACAGCAAGAACTGAATTAAACTACACATTGTTGAATTTACACTTGCACAAACATAAATTGATTTTTAGCACATTTTTTTCCTGCAAGAATTAATCTGTTCTCTTTTTGCTTTCCATCTGTGTGACATGAAACTCTTCTGAACCCTGATGATAGATTTTTGAATCTGGCCCAATGAACTGTCAAGACAAATACATGAAGGGGGAAAAGAACATCAAGGGGTAGTAACTTCTGTTCAAAGTGGTGCCCTCATCATGCATTAAAAAAAATACCTGTACATTTAATCAAAATCTTAGATCTTTTACATCAAGTACATTGAAATGGCACAGCTGTTAAACTTAAAAGTTTTCCATTACTTATGCCTGGTTTGCTCCAGGATCAGATTCATAAAATAGCAACGAATCGTAAAACAACGAACCCACCACTGAACAAAGAACAAATTGAAAAAGAAAGTTAGTCTTTTCCTGCTGTTTTATTTATATGTGGCCCAGGAGACTCCACAATATGAACCTAAATGGCCCACGAAGACAAAAAGATTGGATGTTCATTTCCCAGACTTTCATTTCCCTTAAATATTTTGGCCCTTTGCCCAGGTGTCTGTGGTGTAAGAGACAACCACCCCGTAGCTTCTGCAGGAACCAAACTAATGCCCACTTTCATATTTCAACTGCGCATTTATTTGGATGGCTAGCTGGAAGTATACATCTGCAAGAAAAGACGGCTGTAGACAAAAGATGCCAGTTTACAAGAGAAATGATAAATAGGTTACAATTGCTCTTGCTTTAAATAGTCTCAACACACATCAGAGTGTGTTGCTACTAAAGAACGAGGTGCAGTATTTTGCATGAAGAACACTGTTGTGACATGCAACGTAAAAATGTTCATGTATTGTATAAAATATGACCACATTTGAACATGTAGGTTGCAATTATTTACCTTATGAGTTCAACTTACTTTATAGCTGTGGCTCAATTGGCAGCAGACTCACCTCTGAATCACAATGTTCCTGCTTCAAGTCACACTCCAGAGCCTGAGCATAAATGTCATGGCTGACACTTCAGTGTAACACAGAGCAAGCATTGCACTTTCAGAGGTGTCACCTTTCGGATGAGTCATTAAACTGAGGCCCTGATCTGCTTGTGCTGGTAGATGTAAAATAATCCATGATGCTGTTTTGAAAAGAAGCAGGGGAATTCTCCTCAGTGTCCTGACCAATATTTGTCCTTCAACCAATATCATAAAAATATTATCCGGTCATCATCACATCGCTGATTCTGGAAGTATACTGAGCACAAATTAGCTGCTGCTTTTCCACATTACAACCATGACTACACCTCATTAAGTACTTCATTGGTTGGAAAGTACTTTAACATGTCTGGTAATCATGACAAATGCTACATGCAAGTAAAAATGTAAGTCATTTCACTTCTGCTCTAAAAAAATGTGTTGCACACGGTGCTGAATTTGCAAGCAATATTTGGGAATACAATTGTTGCTGCAACTTAACTGGAACAATATAGCTCTAATGGCTATTCTTAGCAACCATGCTGCTTTTTATAGACATCAAAAACCACTTTTAATCCACTTCCTATTTTATAAAACGTTAAGGAGGGAAACAAGGAATCTAGAGAGAAACTAAGTTGGAAGAGGACGTCATAAAGAGGATAGGAAATAAATGTAGCTTCTAGGATTTTTGCCAACATATGCGATTCTGCTTTTGGACAATATTTACTCAATAATTCTGATTGTGCCAGAAATTATACAATTTAAGATTATTTATTGGGTTCACAACATGGTTCATTTCTATGCATTGGAAGCTACATTTGTTTACAACTAGGTCTCTGTTCTTTGTAGACATAAAGAATATGCCTACATTACAACTCTTTCATGGGGAAAATGGTTCTGGAGGCTGCCAATCCCTGACCCAACCTCATGACAACATCCTGACCAATTACAGTTGACTTGACTAGTTTGCATTTAATAAGTTTAATTAAGATAGTGAATAGATCCTGCTGCATCTCCATGTGAACCATATTCCAACCAATCAACACCCTCTTCTCAAGCTACATCCATTTGTGCCTCCTTTCTAAATTAGTTTTCTTGCATTTCAGTCCTGATGAGTACAAGACACAAAGTTTTGACTTCATTGCGCCATTAGCAACGTTTAGTTTCTATACTACCATGCAATTGCATTTTGAAAAACAACATAGTATTGAAGATACTAAAACAATCTACTGTTAGAGTTTCTGAGATAACAAGGTGTAGTGCTGGATGAACACAGCAGGCCAAGCAGCATCAGAGGAGCAGGAAAGCTGACGTTTCGGGCCTAGATCCTTCTTCAGAAATGGGGGAGGGGGAGGTGGTTCTGAAATAAATAGGGAGACAGGGGGAGGTGGATAGAAGATGGATAGAGGAGAAGATAGGTGGAGAGGAGACAGACAGGTCAAAGAGGCGGT